TTATTTATTGTTTTTGTATTTATTCAAACAATTTGTGTACCCTGAACCCATTTTCAATGGGAAATCAGGGTATAATGGTTTTGTTGAAATGTATGTAACAGGACGAAGTGGGAATGGCAGACCCCATAAGATATATATATATTCTTGATCGGAGCGAAGAGCTGAGTCGATTTAACCCTGTCCGTCCGTCCGTCCATCTGTCCGTATCTTTGAACGCGTCGATCTCAGAAGATATAAGAGCTAAAGACTTCAAAATTTTTATTTAAAGATCCGTATATATAGCGCGGATATCAAGTTTATCTCCAAAAATCGATAACTTGTCCCGTTATTTGTTTATCAATAAAAACATTATCGAAAATTAGTAATAATATTATATCTGCTACATCTTTGGAGCTAGAGTCGCAAAATTTTAAAAGTACATTCATATGTACTTTATAGAATTTCGATTACAATTCACTCCTTGCCCTTTAATTTGTAAAAGGCATATGGCAAATACTAGAGACTTGTACACGCATTTTAATATACAATCACTATCTAAAAGTTTTATGAAGATAGATCCACAAGAAAAGTTATTAAACAATTAATTAATTAATAATGCTGCCTATGTGTGTTTGTGTGTGTGTGTGTATTTCTTGTGTAAGCAGAAAGACGCAAAGAATTATTGAATTACGACTAAAGCTTTCTTACTTGTTTCAATTGTATAGGATTTTATGCTAGCCTTCATCTATGGATAATATTTATAGGATATATTTCAGGAGCTGTCTGAAGGCCTCCGTTGCTCTGGCTTAAAACTTGTTATTTAGAATTAATTCTTTGTAAAAGTAAATAAATAAATAAATTTCAGGAGATCTCTTGTCTCTTTCACCCGAATGGCACTTATGGGGGAAATAGAGATTTGAAACCAAGCAAGCCATGTTAATGGACTTCCCAATGGATTTGAAATATGTATGTTCAGTTCACATTCGGGCATCTGTTGGTGCTGTGTTAAGAGCTTAACTTCGAACATGTTTTGAAGTCTGAAAAAAAACAGCAGCTAGTATAAATATAACAAAAATTTCAAGCAATTCCTCGAGAAAGTCTGAGTTTCAGCGCTCCTCAGAGCGCCAGCCAAATTACGTTTGTGTTGCGTTTCAAAATTATTGGTTAAACTGATAAATATTATCCATCCATTAATCCATTGATCTATCCATTCAATTAAGCCATGTTACGGGCAGGCCGCGGTCACCAGGACGGCTCAAGTGAGGAGCGCATGTGCTGGATCTGCTTGAATACAGAAGGGGGGACCTTGCACCACGACTGGCTGCAGCCGTGTCGTTGCCGTGGCACCAACAAGTGGGTGCACGAGGCTTGCCTCAGCCGCTGGATTGATGAGAAGCAGCAAGTCAACCCGGACGCTCCGGTGACCTGCCCCCAGTGCTACACCGAGTACATTATTGTGATGCCACCAGTTTGCCGTTTTGATGCAATGCTCGAGAGTGTGGAGAGGACGTACTGTCTGCTCTGTCCTAGCATTCTGATGGGTATGCTGGCCACTGTTGTGTATATGGCAACGCTCTCCTACGGAGCGCTTACACTTCACCAAATAGCTGGCTACGATACGAGCATTCAGCTGATGAAAGAGGATCCCACTTTTTTGTTGATCGTTTTGCCATCGGTGCCATGTGCCTTGTTGCTGCTGCGCCGTTTTGACTGGGATAACTGGATGGTGCGCTGGCTGCGCCGTCAACACCGTCAGTCTGTGGCATTGGAGCATTATGATGAGCAGGGGGATCTACTGCCTGGCGCTCCGCTAACCGATGAATATTTTGATAGTCTGGAGCCGGTCGATGAGGATGAAATGATGCAGGCCGGTACCATGAATTCGGAGAATATTGAGCGAGCCACATGCCGTGTCTGCACGGCCCTTAGTCTGCCCACCTTTTCAGTACTCATTGGGCAGACTCTCTATGGCAATGTGAACAGCAAATTGTTAAGCATAGTGTTGGGAGCCTTCACCTTCGAGGCTGTTAAGGGGTTGATCAGCGTCTATTTGCGCCAATGCCAGTATTATCGCCGACGTTATCGTAGTGTACTCGACTACACCACAGAGAACGTCCAGATGGCCGGCAGAACCATCTAGTTTCGCTAAAAATCAATCCATCACATGTTAATTTTGATGTTTAAAATAAAATTTGTAATTCCAACGGAAAGCATCGCTGCCACTAAATCCCCTAATCGATTACTATCACCGATTGCAGACGCTGCCTGATCAGAGTAAATTGCAATTTGCAACTTTATACTCGATAGTTTGCAACGTTTGCCAACACAGTAAAGAATCGCTGCACCTGTATACTTTACCACTTTCTCGACCATTCGAATCGTTTGGCAGCACCATTGAAAATCACGTTATCATTTTAAATTTTAATTTAAACCAAAACCCAAAGGTTGGCTGTGTTATGGTAATGAAGTTTGGATTATTTTAGACTGGGGACTGCCGATGAATTAATTTCAGGGCGTGTTTCTTCAGCCAACGGGCTATTCGAAAAAGCGTGCGGTTATTGCCAGATCTCTTTGTCTTTGCCTTGTTGTCCATGTTGCTGTTGTTATAGTCCAGGCGGCTGGCAAAGTTGAGCGGCAGTTCAATACGTTTTTTGACACCAGAATAGAACAGTAAATAGCGCACGCGCACGCTGGATGGATCGTGGACTACAAACTCCGGCTGGCCGTGCTCCTGTAATCGTATTTCATAATGATCCACTAGCTGGCAGATGACCAGACAGCGTGGAGCGCGACCGAAGCGCGAATGCATCCAGCCACTGCAATTTGTGTCGGAGCACTGAGCGGCTGCCAACTCTGGCAACTCGTACAGATGCATCGGTCTGGGCGTGTCGCGCATTATTAGCAATCGGTAAAGAAAGTACAGCGGACACCCAAAGTAGGCATGAGGACTGGTCGACTTCCAATAGCAGCGCGGATCGTCCTTGTAAATTACTTGCAGAATGTAGCCAGGATTGAGCAGTGGGCGCTTTAGATTCATTTTCTTGCACAGCCAACGCAATTCACCGCCGTCGACGCGCCGTAGACTCGGATACGCCTGCCACACAAGAATCCAGTGGAGCAGATGAATGTGGCTGATGTCTGTTTCGGCCAAGTGATTGATTCGGTAGTTGGAACTCAGGCTTTGCAGCAGACGGTGAGAGCTGGGCCAGGAGGAGACGATGCGACGCAATCCGTCGATATCGTAGAATGCGTCGCCCATAAAAATAGATGGCACAGGCACCAAGTTGCTGCGATATCCATCGCTGTGGGCCGCCGCTGCAAACATCAAGAGCTTCGCATCACTGGCACAGGCCTGGTACTCCAAGACATTGATGAGGACATCCAAAACTCTCAGCGTGGCCATGCTTTGCATACCGTAGTACTGACGCGTGTACGTTAGCTGGTTGTCGGCGCTCAGTGTTAAGTTGCTTGCGGCAAGCCTGCATGAGGGATCAATAGTTAGATGATTAGATTTCTGCTTGTTAGATAATACCCTATATCTAGGTCAGTTGACGAATCGTCGTCCTCCTCAATGCTATCGCTGTCGCTGTCAGTGCAGATCAGAGTTTTCCCGGAGAGGCTCTGGCTATCAATGATATCAGCGAGGCTGCGCACTTCATTGCGTTGATCCATAATTTTTCACACAAATGCAATTTTGGTTTGATAAATAGCTCTGTTCTAATTGTATTTATTTATGACTTATTTATTCATACATGTATGTACATATGTATATGTATCTACTATGAGCTGGCAATCGAAAGGCTACTTTGTTCATACTTCACAGCCGAAAATCAACGCTTTATATATATATACATATGTGTGTGTAATATTGAGTTGTGTAATGTGTTGTATAGTAGGACTCATTACATTGCTGACCTTTAGACAACGCAGCGATATTTATAAATAGGAATAACAAGCATCACACGTCACCAGCCTCTCGGATTACAACTGTCGGTTATCAGCAAAACGTTTGTTTACAAAATAGACGCAAGCACAGTGTACACGGCGCTGTAATATCAGGAAGTATCTGGAATGTGGAACAACAACAGACACACCCCCTTCACACAGTCGCACACCTGCAACGGCCAGTGATAAATAGCCCGAAGCGGTTGCACTTGAACTCGAATTCGAGTCTGTAACGGGCTGTTTGACAGGATACGATTATTGCATTGTTATCGATATGCCGATAGGCAGTAGCGCATCGTCGCTATGACGTGCGAGGATGTTTTGTCCAAAGTGCTAAAAATCCCGGATCCATCATGACGCATCATCGCCTAGACAATAACATATAAGCAAAATTTGTATAGAAAATGACGAGAATAACGGAGAAATGCGTTGTGTGTGATCATCAGGGGTTACTGTCAAAGGGTCATCAGCAACAACTACGTCAATGAGACTGAAAACTGAGACAAGATCCATCAATTAATAAACCATCCTCCGCCAATTGCATACAGGCGCACACACACACATACATGCACACTGTGAGTGTGTAAATGTACATACGTAGTACCTTCGAGACCTGATAACATTTGTCCCGAGTGTAAAGTACAAAATTCCAAAGCAATTATTTTTGATTGATACGACATAATTCGTAGAATTTTATTTAATCACTTTCATTTTTATTGTTGCTTTCGTATTTCCGAGCTAAACGCTAATTACAATAGACTAAAGTGTTCGTAATGTAAGCATAATTGAAATCAAGGCAAAGCCGAGTCGTCTGCCTCAACACTTAATAATAAATTAGTGTCATTAGGTGAACAATTTAGTTATCATTTTCATTATTTATAAACTACGCATATATAGTCATGCGTACTACTGGCTAGACCAACTACTTTAGCTATAAACTATTTAAAACTTTGTTTTACAGGCAGCCTATGTATGTTTGTATGCTTAAGCTAAGACTACGAAAGTTAAGTTAAGTAGTTGACATATATATGTATACATATATAGAGTAGAAAGCTTAATGTAGAGTATAGTTTAGTAATAATGTATGTCTTTCGTAAGTACGAGTTTTAAGTGTAGCAATTGCTCAAGTTGTTTTGTTGTTCATCTGAGCTTCGAGATTAGTTTGCCATTAGGTTTCAAACCTAATGTCAAATGCCAATTTTGCTTTTTATGTTAATTGTTTGCTGACGCACTTGGCAGGCTTAACTCAACTGGCTTTGGTTTCGGATGCATTCCCAGCTATATAAGTAAATGAACAAGATATTGATGTAACATGATCCGACCGCTACCAATATTTGAAAACTAACCTGCCCCTAAAACTTTTTGTTATCTCTGAGGTAGGCCTTATGGCGCACTGTTTCCTTCAAGCATTTATCCGACTCGCTGCCTGTGCCCCGCTGCTGACAGAGGGTTTCCGTTTTGAGGACGAAACACTGCGTCTGCACCATGTTGAAGAAGAGCTTGCCAATGGTATTGGCGTCCTCGTCGTTGGCCATTTTCAGGCAAGTGCGGAAGCGCCGATCGCAGCTGCAGTGAGACAGCGTGTACGGGCGATAGTTGAACAGATCGTACCGATTGGACATGGCCGGTATGTACATCTTGCAGTGATCGTGCTTCCGACAGCACTTGTCAGCCATCGATGCGCCGCCCAAGTGATTGTACGTTCCATTTGCCAAATTGCCACGCCCACACCAGCGTGTGTTGGGCGCTATGAACCAATCAGACACCTGGCGACGTCGGCGCGCGGCCGCAGGGGGCAGTGCGTCTGCAATTGTGTCGTCATCTTTATCGTACGATTCGTGACGTAGTTGCTGATGACCGCTATTGCCACTACTGGGGCTCTCTGTGTGTATTGGTGTTGACGCTGGTTTTGTTGTTGCTGGTGTTGTCGCTGCACTCGYAGAGGCAGCGGCAGCGACATTGGCGGGCAATGGCAGCTGTTTGGCAGCGCACATCTGCCAGGCGAACACAATTAAGCATAGCAAATAAATATAATTGCACTTCAATGCGATTGCGGTTGCCATTCTGTCAATCTGTGAATCTATCAATCTGTTAGTCTGTCAAAATCGTGTTTTCATTCAATGTTGTAACGTATTCTCTTTTAAGGCTTCGCGTTGCGTTTGCGGCACGCTTCTCACACTCAAATGTCGCTCCGACTACTGAAAGCTGGCGTTTTATGGGCTCGCAGGCTGCAGCTCGACTGGCGACTGGCTATTGGCAATTTCGCCGTGTGCGTGCGTATTAAGGGTCTGTGCAGGTGAATCGCTTATCTTTCGTCCAAAGCAGTGCTGTGCAGTGGAACATATGTTCGGCTGTCAGTGTTGCACAACTTGTGCAAAAGCTTTCTGGTAGTAGTCGCAATGCTGTTTTGAGTATTTATTTTATGTGAATAAATATGTAAATGTGTATTATTTTATTATTATTAAGCATGCATTTGTTCATATAACCACTGTGAATACAAAAATGTAGCCACTATTGTACTGTTAGTGATGTGACTTAATTTAAACTACTCTCCAGCGCAAAAAAAAAAAAAACAATCTACTGGGAACAGCTTGTCTCTCAGCTGTTAAGAGGATTTAGTATTTTGCAGCACTGGCCAACAAATAGCATCAATAGTTTTGTGTGTCGTCAGGTGGATCGAATTAAAAAAAAGAATTCAGGGCTAGCGTAGACTGAGTGGCGCAACGCATGCCTTTACGCACTAATGCAATGCAGCGAACTCAACAGGAGCAAAAGCAATTGAAGCTGCATCAGCAGCAACAGCACACGGAAGACCTACAGCAACAGCATCATCACCATCATCATCACCAACAGCAGCAGCAGCAGCAACAACAACAGCATAACAGTAATATTAACAGCAATGGGACGCACATTGCTGGCTGCAGCAATGCCACGCCCACAACGGCTGCAACAACGAATGCAGCTGTTGGCGCCACAGGAGTGACGCCGCCTCGTACTTTGGCACTAAACCAAAACTATGCAGCTTCGGACACATCGGGGGAGCACGATGGGGACACGGACTACCCGGACTCGCGGTATGAGTGCGCCATTTGCATAGACTGGCTAAACGAGCCGGTGCTGACGTCATGTGGCCATCGCTTCTGTAAGAGCTGCCTCAGTGATTGGCTGCAGAACCACAACCAGTGCTGCCCACTCGACAACAAGCAGTTGTCCGCCGAGCAGGATATTTTTCCCGACAATTATACGCGTCGCGAGATTGAACAAATCAAGCACAAGTGCCCCAATTCGCCGCATGGTTGTGCCGTGGTAGCCTCGCCCATCGAGCTGCATCGGCACTTACCCAGCTGCCCGTATCGCAGGCAGCAGCAGCAACAGCTCGAGGAGAAGTGTCCCTTCGCCAGCATCAAATGCGATTTTGTAGGTCGTCCCGAGACGAACCAGTTGGAGGAGCACCTCAAAACGAACATGCCGCACCACATGCAACTCATGCTACAGGCATTCCAACAAACTGCCATTGAGACTTGGCAGCCACACAAGCCCAGCTCCAGCTCCGCGCTGGAGAACGGCCACAAGGCGGGACAGCTGCCCCCGCCGCCGCAATACGCAAACGGAGTCGACGAGCAGATCGTCCAGACCATGTACCAGCGCATCGTCGTGCTGGAGCAGCGCACACGCGAGCTGGAGACACACATCGAGAATCTCAACAAGCAGCTGCGACGCCAGCAGCCGATCGACGCCCGTTACAGCAACGGCACCATCGTCTGGCAGATCGAGCAGCTGAGCTCCTTAATAGAGCGCCTGCGTGCCAATGCGAATAACCAGGTGTACTCGCACGAGTGCTATACGTCGCCGTACGGCTACAAGTTCTGCGCCCGTCTCAACATACAGCCGCGGAAACCGCACATGCTCAGTCTGCACGTGCATCTGATGCAGTCGGACAACGACTTCCACTTGGACTGGCCATTCAAGGGTCGCATCAAGCTCTGCATGGTGCACCCGGGCGACGCGAGTCTGTCACAGCACGACACCATCATGACCAAGCCAGAGATACTCGCTTTCCACCAGCCGCGCGAGGCTATCAGCACACGCGGCTTCGGATTTCTGGAGTACGCCAACATATCCAATATCATGCAACTGGGCTTCTGTGCCGACAATCGGCTCCTGATCAAGATTGAGATTAACATTGTGTGAATTGAATTGCCCAGGACTAACTACTGGCTCATGTGCTCAATATACACTAGATGCTTATATATACATACGAACGATAGGCGCTGAGATATGTATATTTTATATAGACCTTATACGATCTACGATTATTAGTCAAAACGGAGAAAAAACATCACAGCGAAGCAATTTTGATACCATAGTTTAGAAGCGACTTTATCAGATATATACATATATATATATATAGTATGTCATATAGCATACATGTAGTATGATAGCAATTCGAATAGGCCAAACTTTTGTATACGTTTACACGCATTTTATTGTTTAATAATGCAAAGAGAAAACAAAAGATTTGATGACGTAAATCGGATTAGACTCATTCCATGTTGGGATTTTGTTTGTTATCAGACTCCAATAAGATTCCAGTGACAGCTCGCGCATGTTATTGCCGGTTAACAGTTTCCAGTCATGCTAATCCATTCTCATTTCGCCTTTATTCTAATAAGTTTTATATTGTGATTACTTTGTTTCACATTTGCACTTAATTTAATGTTTTTTTTATATATATATATTACAACTTGTTTATAATTTTGGAACTTTGTGTTTAAAACACTTCCATTGGCATTGCTAGATTTTACCAATTCTAAACACACAAAAATACGTCCATTATGTTAAACAATTATTCTTAGGTGATTTTTTGTTAACCTTAAGAGCAATATACACACATATATTGATGGCAGCAGCGTGCATATATATAAACTAAAAATATTAATATTTATATACATACATACATATATTGAATTGTATTGAAGCAAGCGGGCAATATATTGCATATATGTATGTATGTATGTACATACATATGTATATGTATGTGAGATAAGCATATTCATAGTTGTGCAGTAATAAATTAGCGAGAACAACGCCACAAGAACAGCAACAACAAATAATAATAAAGGACCCTTTTGTACCGATAACTTACCGATTTATTTATTATCTTATGTGTGTCTGTGCCTGATCGTTAGAGACTGCAAGCTTAGTTGAATTGAAAACAATTTGAGTTACATTTTGATATATGTATGTACTTTTTTTTTAAATTCAATATTTACATATTACATACATTAGACTATGATTAGATCGCCATGATTATGGCACATGCCAGCTGCCCGCAGCTGCGACGGCAACAACCTCTACATGGGATGTGTGCTGGCCCTGGAGCAACTCTATGGTTACAGCCTCCTCCAGCAGTTGGTCGGTGTTGTCGGCTTCCTCCACCTCAATCTCGACATCGACTTGAGATGTCTTGGCCTTAGCTTTGGCTCTGGCCCGTGCCGACTCGTGAGTGCGCATGTGGGCATTGAGGCCGCCCGACTGGGCAAACATTTTGTTGCACAGCTTGCACGAATATTTGCGCTTCTCGGAGTGCAGGAGCTTGTGGAGGCGTAGCGCTTTCTTGCGCTGGAATGTGGAGCCGCACACATCACAGACGAAGGGCCGCAGATTCGTATGCGAGACGGCGTGCACGTTGAGATCGTGGAAGCTGTAGAACGCCTTGCCACACACTTCGCACTTGGCAGGCCGTTCGCCCGTGTGGCGCCGCATGTGGGCAGTGAGTACGCCACGATCGCGGCAGGGACGACCGCATACCTCGCATATGCATGGCATGCGACCGGTATGGCATATGTTATGCGACGTCAGCTCCTTTTGCGTGTAGAAGGTGGCCTCGCAATCTGGCTGCTGGCACTTGTAGGGCTTGATTCCGCTGTGCCTTTGGCGATGGCGCATCATGTTGCCAGACTGCGTGAAGGGCTTGCCGCATATGTCGCAGAAGATGCCCGTGTGCTTCCAGCGATGGCCACGCAAGTCGCGCTCAGTGCGGAAGGTCTGATTGCACTCAGGCTCGTCGCACTTGTAGATCTTGGAGGGATCCTTGCGCGGTTTCTTGCGAACGCTTCCAGCTGTGGATGTCGTCATGGCATCGCCTGCAGCTACCCTGTGCGGCTTTGGCGGCTTGCAGAAATTGTGTTTGCTGCGTTTGTGGCTCTGCAGGCTGCGTTTGGTGTTGTAGGCGCGATCACATTGGTCGCACTGGAAGAGCATGTCTCTAGTGTCGTCCACTTCCTCATCATTGTGATCGGAGCCTGAGTGTTCATTGCGGTCAATACGACCTTCGCTGTCGTTGCCGTCACCCGTCATCCAATCCAAATGTTTGTCCATTGGCGTGTCATCCTCCGACTGTCGCACCACTCTATTCTTGAGTGTTGCATCGCGTCGTTGGCGCCTGGTTGCAATTGAGCCATTCTGTTCTTCAGATGCACTGACATCTGCATCTTTATCAGTCGCGTGTTCCCGGTCAAGCAGCGCTATTTGGGCCAAGTCCACATTCACATTGTCATTGGAAGCGTGCGTCTCGTCATTGGCAATGGGATCGTCCTCGGATTTAATGGCCAATGGCTCGACCTCCACCGGCGCATCCAGATGCTGCTCTACGGCATGTGTAGCGAACAGCTTGCATTCTTCAGTCTCCGTCTCCGTATCTACCTCTGACTCTGTCAGATGCTTGAGTTGAAAGTGTTGAGGAAATCCTTCAAATGGCACTTGCTGGCCGCAGAGCGCACAACTAACATCGTAATTTGTTGGGCTGACGCAGAATACCTCGCCGCAACGAAAATTAAAATATGAACGATCAAAATCTGGTTGCAATTTAATCATCCTGTGGAACACTGATTACAGCACCGATGCTCTAAAATTGGGCCCATTTAACTTTGGCGTCGTATCAGGCTCCCAATCAAAGCCGCCGTCGCACCAAACACTGGACAGCTGTGCGTCGATGAAGAATTCGATTAATATACATTACGGGGCAATCGATATTTCTTTAATGTTTACATTTAAGTGCATAACTACGATTAAATAAAATGTTCATTAGAAGCAGAATGAATACATGAGTAGTTCAATGTGCAACAAAAAAATATAACATTAGTATTTTTATGTTAAAATAGTGAAAAGTAGTAGTTTCAAATAACCGCCCTATCCGAAGTATCGATACCAAATCAACTGCAAGTGTTTGAATTCAAAACAATTGTTTATTTAATCGCTGTTAGTGTTGTATTACAGCTGTTAAATTGCAATTTTCGAATTTTGCACACTGGTAGCTGCCGCCCGTTGTGTATTCGTGTATACACTTTTTTTTTCTAACTGCAATCAGTATATTGATTTTTCGCCCCCGCTTTTCCATTGAAGTCTACGGCACGGGCAGAGCATAAACATAAGAATCTATTGTAAAAATGTCGGAGTGCGCCGCTTCAGCCAGCAATGTGAATGCCAATGAAAAGATGGCCAGCTTGCTGAAAGAGGCGGAAAATTTGAAAGCTAAACTAGAGGAGGAGCGCCAAAAACTGAACGATGTCAGTCTTTCAACCATTGCTGAAAGGCTGGAGCAGATAGCCTTCGTAAACATAAAGCCACGTAAGGTGTTGAAAGGTCACCAGGCGAAAGTGCTGTGCACCGACTGGAGTCCCGATAAGCGCCACATTATCTCATCATCTCAGGACGGGCGCCTAATAATCTGGGATGCGTTTACCACAAACAAAGAGCACGCTGTGACAATGCCAACCACTTGGATAATGGCATGTGCGTATGCGCCATCCGGCAACTATGTGGCCTGTGGTGGCCTGGACAATAAAGTAACCGTATATCCGATTACCTCCGATGAGGAAATGGCTGCCAAGAAGCGCACTGTCGGCACGCACACCAGCTACATGTCGTGCTGCATCTACCCCAATTCAGATCAACAAATACTCACAGGCAGCGGCGACTCCACATGCGCTCTGTGGGACGTCGAATCTGGCCAACTACTGCAAAGTTTCCATGGCCACTCCGGCGACGTGATGGCCATCGACTTGGCGCCAAATGAGACGGGCAACACCTTCGTCTCTGGCAGCTGTGATCGCATGGCCTTCATTTGGGACATGCGGTCTGGCCATGTTGTGCAGTCCTTCGAGGGCCATCAGTCGGACGTGAACAGTGTCAAGTTCCATCCATGCGGCGACGCCATCGCTACGGGCTCCGACGACAGCAGCTGTCGTCTGTTCGACATGCGCGCAGACCGCGAAGTAGCCGTCTTTGCCAAGGAGAGCATTATCTTTGGCGTCAACTCAGTGGACTTTTCAGTCAGTGGGCGACTCCTCTTTGCCGGCTACAATGACTACACCGTCAACCTCTGGGACACGCTCAAATCGGAGCGCGTCTGCCTGCTGTACGGCCACGAGAACAAGGTCTCCTGCGTGCAGGTCTCACCCGACGGCACAGCGCTGTCCACTGGCAGCTGGGACTACACCATCCGAGTGTGGGCCTAAGCCATAAAACCAGCAAAAATATATGTGTGTGTATTATACGAATGTGCATATGCATATATGTGTAAATTGAATCTGTTGAGCGCGCTCCTGCTGTTGTTTGTCAGCTTTCAGCTATTTTTTTTTCTGTCTGCGTGTTACACCAAATACTATATACTTTAAGTATGATGCAAAGGAGGCGAAGTGCACGCAACCAATCCAAAGAGAAGGAGCTCGTGTATATCTATGTAAACATATTATGCGCTAGTTCTAAGTTCCTGTTCGAAATAAATGTTGAAGCGAAAACCAAATTCTTCAAGCGTTTCATTCAAAAACTAAGGGCAGCTCTAGCGGTATTTATAGAACTTGTTTATCATATCATATATACATACATACACACTACGTCCTCTCTCGCTAAATCGTAAAAAACTTGCTAGCTAATTCGAAATACATTTGCACAAGTTTAAAACCGATTATTGATATAATTTTAAATCGATCAAAACAATTTAACTTGACCTTCGACAAAAATAGACGGACCAGGGGTAAATCATCTAAGATCGGCATCCTAATCATACTTAAATACTTTATAAAGCGCTACGCATTCTTTCTGTTACATACATTTTTACAAAACCGTTATATCCTGACTTATCCTTTTCAGGAGCAGAATACACAAGAAGGGTATTTTCGATTAAGATAATATGCCTGTTCATTCAATTTTTTTTTTGTGCCTTAAACCTCCGTTTAATGAAAAGCTAGACGAATCAAAATCACTATGTGATTCGTAAAGAGTCGAGTCCTTAGTAAAGGGGACTTATGTATGTATGTTTACATAGAAAAGGCTCCAAATTGAGTCGAAGAACTACGTAGATAAAATTATTTTTATATTGCATTTATATATGTATAAGACATTAGCTTTATTTTTTATGACACACAATAGCTGATGATAATTATACACATATAGTATTATAACAAACTTATTATAGTTCTTTAAATGTTAGTGAATATATATCCTTTCGGAACAACTATGTTATGTACAATAATTAATAATATTACATGTATAATAGCCAACGTATTACAGTTAAGGAGCGCTTTCAACGTATTACAACTATGTTATGAGTTACAAGGTTCTGTTTATGCAATTTCTTTTGGAAGAATTTCGTTTATGATATACAATATCTAATGATAGTATTACATATATAATAGCCAACATATCATAGGAAAATAGAGCTATATAAGTGCTATGCTTCACAAGATTCTGTAGCCTATTTTTGTTATATAATGGCGAAAAAAGTATTTTGACAACGCATTGCAATAACTTAAACCGCCCATTTATGCATATTGCGAGAAGGAACGATACTTTTTCCTTTTGAAAGAGTTCATTAATAGTCTCAAGAGAGTAGCACAAATACAATTGAAAGAGAAGGTAAACACAATTTTATAATAATTGTGATTCGTAGTTTCTGTTAGAATCCACGTATATCAACAGAGAAAACCGTCCACGCTTGTTTGAAACGAAAAAAATAAAATGGTTTTCGGGTTCGGTCGAACCTTGATAGGTCTAATCTGCGTTGTCCTTTTATATAATCTCACACATTCTCAATAATATTCAGATCGGGGCTTTGAGGTGGTCAATGTAATATATTGACTCCAATATATTTATACACTCAGTTATCATATGGGCCTTGTGGCATGGAACGTTGTCCTGCTGATAGACCAATGAGCATATCACCGGAATTCCATGAGATTCATCCAGGACACGTAAATATTTGTTATTCTTCATTGTACCATTTATGGATATCGATACGGTAAAGACATTGAAGCACACGCAAACATGATCGATTCCCCGCCATTCTTAGGCAACCGGCTATAAATCTTCTTATCTAATCCTTGATACTCAAAAGAGCTTTCATCTATCCATAATATCTATTTCCAGAATGATTGCGGCTTTCTTACGAGAGACTTAATAAATCGTAAACTTTGGTTTACGATTTAGGGATTTAAAGGTATAAAACGAGCTACAATATAGAAAAAAACAGCCTTCTTTAGACGTCTTTTGACAGTTTTCTGTCTGTTGATATTATATGATAGTTTTTTAAATCGATCGACATTGTTTTTGGCAAATTCCGCACCTAAGCATCAATATTGGCGGTTTTTATAGGGTTTGTTTTAAATAATTTTTCTATTTTCTGTTAATTTAGGTAGTAAATTGTTTATAGAGATACATTCTACATACATTCAATCTGCTAAGGTATTCCACAGAAATATCTGAATTATTCTTCTTAGCCAATTAATTTTTAATGAATTCAATTGATGCACGTCATTTGCCCATAATCTAACAAAAACTACGACAAACAGTGGTAATTATTAAACAAGTTACAAAAATAGCTTTAAAAAATTAAAAAAATAAATGAAAAGAAATGTCAAAATACTTTTGTCCAGCAAAGAGATCGAGAAGCTTTTACAATGCGTTGTCAAAGTATTTTTATCCACCATTGTATTATGATTATAATACATACATTATAGCCTAATTAGTATAAGTGTAGTTTGAGCACGTTTGCAATATTGAAAAGTGACTGTACAAGTAGCTCAGTGCGGGGATGCTCAAAGATGGGGTGGGCAGGCTATAGCTGAGCCGCTATCAACAATGCCATTGATGGCCTGCGCTTTGTGGCCACGCATATGGGCGGACAGCCCCGCTGCCTGGGCGTAAGCATTGCCACAGATCTTGCACTTGAACTTCTTGACGCCCAAATGCAGATGTTTGTGATGGTAGAGAGCCTTGGGGCGTGAGAAGGCAGCCTCACAATGGTCGCACTTGTACGGCCGCTCCGTGGAGTGCATGGCCTGGTGCTCGTTGAGCAGCGACTTCGATGCGAAACAGCGCGCGCAAGTCTGACACTTGAACGGCTTCTCGCCCGTGTGCGTGCGCCGATGCACAATTAGTGCATCGCGGTAGCGCGAGCGGTAGCCGCATAGCTCACACACGTAGTTGCGCTCAGTGCTGTGGACGCGACGATGCGACGTCAAATTGTGCTGGCTGACAAATGACTTGCCGCAACTCTCATGCTCGCATTTGAATTGTCGCAGACCCGAGTGGGCCTGCACATGGCGTAGAAGAGTGCGTGAGCTTTTGTACACCTTGCCGCACACGTTGCACGGAAACTCGGTGTGTTCCTTGCGACGATGCGATAACATGGCGCGTTGCACGTCGAAAGTGGCATCACAATCGGTGCACTTGAAGCCGTTCGGGTGCGGATGCCTCACCTTAACATGCATATTTAGGTACTTCTGAGTCGTGTATTTGCCCCTGCAGTATTTGCATGGGTACTCCTTGGGCTCGGGTTGTTTCTGCAAATCATATTGATCACATTATCCACAATATAACGTGTACAACTCACCTTAAATACAGATTGCGCTTCCGTTTCACTATCAGTTGCCTCCTCATCATCATCGACATCAGTGAAGCTCGGGACCCTTGCTGTGGGTGCATCCAGCTCGTCTGCACTATGGCAGCTTTCCTCGGTCCGCCCATTTTTGTTGCTTTCCAATTGCACTGTTTTCAGCTTGACCTCGTCGAACGAACAGACTCGCAATGCATCGCCGTCGTTGTCATCCTCATCTGATCCCTCGTTCCGTTCATCGTCGCCTGCATATGCTGTTGCATTTAAAGGGGGCAACTGTTGACATGCGTCACTTCTATCGGCCTTGACCTGCGTACGCGGTTTGCCCTGCTTGTCGAAATGTACGTTGCGTATGTGCATCGAGAAGTCATCAAATGCAAAATGTTTCATTTCGCAGAGACAGCAAACCAGCTGGAAACTACAGAATTCGTTTTCGCTTTCGTAGAATATTTCGCCACATTTTGGGCGCAGTTGCGGATTAACATGCAGTCGCGAGAAGTCCACATTGACTAGACACTGCTTTAACATGCTGCGAATTTGTTTATTTCAACATTTGCCATGAAAACAAATATAAACAAATTGATACTCGCCCACACAACTACCAAAACAATGCATCGATAGCACGATTCCCATAACAATAGAAATGCTATCGAAATGATATAGTGTTGATAAATGGCTACGCGGGCTAATTTAAAATCGTTTTGATTGTGTCAGATACTTTTACATTGGTTGTGGCCGTTGCTCGCTCGTTGCGTTGGCGATGCCAGCGCTTGTGCTGCGCATATCCTGCTGCCTGCGCGTAGGACTTCTCACATACGCCACATTTATACTGCTTCACCTGAGCATGAAGCGGCCTATGATGATAAAGCGCGCGTGCACTAAGGAATCCTACATTGCACTCCCTGCACATGTAGCGACTGCGTCGTTGATCTGTATCCATATGACTCTCATTGTGTGTGGTTAATTGGTATCGTGCCACGAATGATGCATTGCATATGTTACAACAGAAGGGTTTCTCGCCAGTATGACGGCGCTTGTGCACCTTTAAATTTCCAGATATGCGAGTTCTATATCCGCATTGCTCGCACATATGACGCAGTAGATTGTTGCCAGGATCAGAGTCCTCGGATTGATCGGACTTTGAACATTTTAAGCCTTGCTTCTTTTTTGCATTTGTTTTGCTCGTTATCTTCGATAAAATTTCGTAATTAACATGTTGAACAATTTTCAATCAAATGTTGCACTTACCAGAACCTCACCGGCCATTGTCACGCAGTGCATGCTAAATTTAATCGTTGGCATTATGTTAAACGCGCGATTTGGTATTTGTAGCTCGATTAATTGTTGTCAAAAGGAGCTAAATTTAAATTACATACAACCTCTCCCTTCCCCACTATCAGTTACAACACACTTAACAGAATCGAAAGTACTTTGTTAGACAATCGATAACATTCTTTCGATTGGTGAATTTCAAATTGTTTTCAGCGCATTAATAAAATCGAACTCACTTCGATCGACGATCAATTACAATATTTCGATTATTAAATTTGAAATGTGAATGCGAATAAAAACGATCAGATAAGAATTTTAATAGCTTAGAATATGTATATATATACATACATATGTATATCAATGTACTTTGTACATGCACATAGACATGCACATAGAATTCGCCTAAACTATGCCTGAGTGCTTACAAGTAAAAACATAACGAGTAAATAGGGCAAACATACTACATAATGGAAGATAATGGATTACAGATTATTCAGCCATTGAGCTCGTCGTTGCGGTGCTTTCGCATGTGCCCCGCCAGACCCGCTGCCTGAGCATACTCATTGCCACAGAGCTTACACACGAACTGTTTCGTAGCTGCGTGCAAGAACTTGTGGTGGTAGAGTCCCTTCTGGCGAGAGAACGTGGCGCCGCATACCTTGCACACGTGCGGCCGCTCCGTCGAGTGCATGGCCATGTGCTCGCGCAGACCCGAGTGGGAGGGGAACCGCTTGTCGCACACCTTGCAGCCGAAGGGACGCTCGCCCGTGTGACTGCGCAAGTGGACACGAAGCGTCTCCTTGTTGCGGCAGCTGTAACCGCAGCTCTCGCACACGAAGTTCTTCTGCTCCGAATGCACCTTGCTGTGGTTCCGCATGTGGCGCGTGGTAAAGAAACGCTTTTCGCAACCCGGATAGCTGCATGGCACATCGCGCTCATTTGTATGCTTCAGCTGGTGCCGCTTCAGCTCGTGGCGCGTCTTGTACCGCCGATTGCATATCACACAGGGCGCGCCGCCGTGCACCTTCACCACATGCTCGTCCAGCAGACGGAGCCGTGGCAGCTGCTCATTGCACTCCAGGCAAACAAAGGCGTCGCTCAGGCTGATGTCATGGTCCCGCTTCACATGCTGCCGCAGCGTGTACTTGCCGTGATAGACCTTATCACAGTGCTCGCACTTGTATTTGGGCTTGGGTGCGTGCACCTTGGGCGGCTCGTAGTCTGCGTCGATGTCCACATCCACGTCGTCCTCTGAGACGGCGTCGGTATACTTGTGCTGGCGCTCCATGTGGCGCTGCAGCGACTTCTTGCTCCGATACGTTTTGTTGCAGTGTATGCAGGTCAGCTGCTCCTTTGTGGCCGTGAGTGGTGCCTCCTGCTCATGGCCTATGGCATCTGAATTGTCAGCATCTGATCCTATGTGATCATTGTAGGGGCGCTCCGTCGACACATCCCATTTCATGATTCCGACGGGATCCTCCAAGTCATCCTCCGTATCATCATCGTCGTCGTCCACCAGCTGCTTACTCTCGCCCAGAAACTCAGTCCCGCTGTTGGCAGCCAAGTCGTATTCATTGGTTGTCACTTCATACCAGGAAAACAAATTTGTTTGAGTTGCCGAGGTGCTGCTGTCCATGTCCTCCTGTTTCGGCAGCATCACCTCCGCTTTGAGCAGCCCGTCCTCAAAGTGCTCATTCTGAATGTGTAGCAAAAAGTCGGCGAACACAAAGCTCTTCATGTGGCAGAAAGCGCAGTCAATGCGATAGCTGTTTAGACTTTGGAAATACACCTCCCCACACTTGGCATTGGCAATGCCAGCAAATGTGTCCGGCTTGAGTGCCTTCAGCATGTTCAATTTCTTATTCGATCCGCTTCCGCTAACTAATAAGCATTTGTGTGATATTTTCTAGTTCTGATTAGACTGCAACAAGCAACGCAAACAAATCGTGTTGTCGTTTCAATTCTGACTGACTGGCCCAACAGCTGTTTTGCTTTGACATTTTACAGCACTGCATTTTGCCAGGATGCAGCAGGTCTTATTCACTCAATTGGCTGGCGCTATGAAATTCCACATAGTCTCCTTTAAATTAAATGTACATATTTATTCTGCTAAAATTCTTGTTGGATTTATTTATTGCATTGACTCACTGAAATACATACGTAAATATACGTACATTAGTATATTTTGCCTTGCTTGGAATTGGATGGCACAGCTCCTAGCTACTATAGCTACTTGATTAGTAAGATATACATAGATACATATACAAACACAGATGCAGATACATAGATCTGATACTATATTAACTGTTTATTGTAGCTTCGGGCTTCACATGAATAAACTGGTGCTGCTGCAAGTGCTTAAAGTCCACAAACTTTTTGTCGCACAGTTCACAGCTGTATTTGGCCAAGCGATAATGTTTCTTTAGTTTGTGGGTGCTTAGCGTGGAGGCACTTCGATAACTGTTGCCGCACAGCTCACAAGTAAACGGCAATAAGGATGTGCATAGTTCGGCGTTGTCTGCCTGATCCTGGCCTTTGTGTGTGGTTCCAGTCGCATGCATCTTGCGTTTATGGGTGTCCATTTGATTGCGGGTGTAGAAGCTCTTGTCGCAGCTATTGCAAGCCCAACAGCGCAATTGAGTGTGCCGCAGCTCGTGGCTAAGCAGAGCACTGCGATGGGTAAATAGCTTCTCGCAATGTTGGCACTGGAGTTCCTTGCGATCTTCATGCGTGCGCAAGTGGCGTGTTAGCGTGGAGACGGCTCGGAACTGCTTGCCACACATGTCGCACTGATGGGGCTTGCTGCCGGTGTGGATATTCAGATGGGTGTCCAGCAAATATCGTCGTCGAAATGTCCGCCCACAATAAGCGCACGAATTTGGTCCATTGCGTCGCTTATCAGGTTGCCGCTTGGACTCGACAAACGTAAAAGCATCATATCCCGTTTCTACGACAGGTGGCAGCTCCGACAACGATGGTAGCTCAACAACAGGTTCATTCAAACAGCTAATAGGTGCCCCAGTGTTCTCTTCCTTTACGTTGTGAAGTTCTGGCTGAAAGTGGTCACTAATAAAATGCTGCTGGAATGCGACGTAGTCCAAAAAAGTGCTGCCGCAAATACATTTTATCAGAAAGTTTGCTTCTACGGAAGTGTCGCAATGAATTTCGGCGCATTTTGTGTTTATGCTTATGTTTACAACTTCGACCATTTTCCAATGACGATAAATAAAAACAAACACTAGAGATCCATTAGTAGTTTCCAACACTCTTCGTGCAATACATCGCAGTGAAATTTGCAAATGCTTATCGATATTTGACTACTGCAACACGCGATTTGTAATTGTAAGATTGCGTTTGCAAATTCGTATACGTCTTCAGTTACCGTTGTATTAAATTGAATTAGGTGATTAGCAAAGGCATATACGGCTGACAACATGCATCCCGATCTCACCGAGCGCATCCTACAGCATTTGGAGACAGTCGACAAAGTGAATACTCTAGAACTTGCCACGCAATTCAGTGTTGACCATCAGAAAGTTGTCGGCGCCTTAAAGAGCATACAGGCACATGGCGATCTAGTCATCGCTGAGACAGCCACACAGAAAAACTTGGAACTGACCGACGAAGGTCAGTCCGTGGTCGAAAAGGGCAGCCATGAGGCTATCGTCTATTCATTGGTGCCCCCGGAGGGTATAGCTCAAGCAGCTCTGATGGTTGCCGGAGGACCCAATGCTAAAGTAGGCTTCAGCAAAGCCATGTCCCAGGGCTGGATACTCTTAGATAAGAGTGTGAACCCACCGCTGGTTAGACGAAAGGTGGACAAAATTGTCGACAATGTGAAAGATCAGCTGGTGTTGGTGGCCAGTGGCAAATCGCAGTTAACTGCTAAAGATGTAGCCGACTACAAGAAACGGAAACTGCTGCAGGAGACTACTACAAAGAGTTTTATTTTGAGTAAGGGTCCAGAGTTTGCCACAACACTTACTAAGTTGGAAACGGATCTTACCATGGATATGCTAACCAGTGGTTTGTGGGAGCAGTTGAAATTCAAGTCATATAACTTTGATGCGTTGGGCGCGGCACCGACGCGTGGTCATCTGCATCCGCTACTCAAGGTGCGCACTGAGTTTCGCCAAATTTTTCTTGAGATGGGATTCTCAGAAATGCCCACCAACAACTACGTGGAGTCATCTTTCTGGAACTTCGATGCACTATTCCAGCCGCAACAGCATCCAGCACGCGATGCCCACGATACGTTCTTCATCATCCACCCGGCGCAGAGCCACAAGTTTCCCCAAGAATACCTCCAGCGGGTCAAGGCCGTACACTCAAAGGGTGGCTACGGGTCGCTCGGATACGGCTACGACTGGAAGCTGTCGGAAGCGCAAAAGAATCTGCTGCGTACCCATACAACAGCCGTGAGCGCACGAATGCTCTTCAAGCTCGCAAACCAGGAGGGTGGCTTTAAGCCAGCCAAGTACTTTAGTATAGACAAGGTGTTCCGGAATGAGACGCTGGATGCTACCCATTTAGCGGAATTTCATCAGGTGGAAGGCGTTATTGCAGACGTGGGTTTAACACTGGGAGATTTGATTGGCACGCTTTATGAATTCTTCCGAAAACTGGGTATTACTCAGCTGGAGTTTAAACCGGCATATAATCCATATACGGAGCCCAGCATGGAGATATTCTGCTATCATCCGGGTCTGGCCAAATGGATTGAAGTGGGCAATTCAGGCCTTTTCCGCCCGGAATTGCTCCGACCCATGGGGTTGCCAGAGAACGTTAATGTTATTGCCTGGGGCCTGTCGTTGGAAAGGCCCACGATGATCAAGTACGGCATTAACAATATTCGGGACTTGGTGGGACCGAGAGTCGATCTGAAAATGGTTGAAGACGGCCCTATTTGCCGATTGGATCACGTCTAGGCTTGCTATTGCTATTTCAATCATAATTTTCCAAATACACATATTTGAATAGTTAAATGTCGCCGCCTTTCAAACCTGCACTCAATAAATCAACACTGTTTTGCAACACCGATAAACGTGGAAAAGTAATATTACAGCCATCGGGCAATCGAAATAGCTATCAAATAAAAACATAAACAAAAGAAATATCGAAACTAAGGTTTTTATTTTTCTTGATTTGTTTCTTGAGTATAAAAAATAAAATTTTTTGTAACATCCCCACTGTAGATTATGGCTAACGCTGATCTTGAACTTGACAAGGAGAATACACAATCACTGCAGCAATCCATTCATCAGACGCTGGGCAGCCAAAATGCTAGTGAACCACCAAAATCGCACATTTCGATTGGGACAAAATTTGTTATACCACAACTTTTACCTCCGAGAAACACAAGCCAGCCAGCAAGTGCCGAACAGTTGGAACACAATCGCGCTGCGGCAGCACACAACGAGCAGCTCCTTAATGCAATTAGAATTAAGCAGAGTGAAGCTAGAGATCATCCAGGATCCACTGAAAACATCACCATGCGTCAATTGATCATACCCAATCTATTAACAGCTTCGGGCGAGACTCTCGAAGATACTCACCTTCAAATACCGTTAAACAAGCTGCTAAAACAGAGCAATTCATTGGACCTGACTCCAGTGATAAAGGGAGTGATCAGTCTGAATATCACCGCTGACGAAGCTGGTCAAATTACCAAGCTGAAGACCACAAAGGAAAATCCAGAACGTTCACAAGCAGTGAAAACAATTGATCTAACCTCAACTCTAATTACCAGACACAAAGATGCCGCACCCCGCGAAGCGGCAACCAAGTTGCGCCATAAGCAGGCATCTTCCGTTGTGGAGCACTTTGATATTCCATTTATCAGCTGCGATCGTCCCCCTATTGGCTTGTTGTATGAGAAGAACCTGATACGTATGTCAGGCGATACGGACCCATTCCCTTCGAGAAATATGGAGAAATCCAGTGCTGTTGGGAGTATGATGGATGCATCAGTGGGCTATCCCAGACCACGAAAGCCACAGCTTAAGTATGCGGCGTCCCCATCTGAATTGCAAAATCTAAAGTTGTGCAAACGGGAGGATTATGGCGCGAATATTAAACGGTTTCGCTTTGATACTCCATCGCCCGATGAAATTGTGAAAGCCGCTCTGCAGAAATCCCTGCGCATATCGCGCACATAGTCCTAGAAATATCTATACTTACTTAATGCCTATGTGTACAAGTTGACATTAAACGTTATTAATATATTCCCCGCGAAGAAATATCTTCAAGATCGCACAATTGTTTTACCAATTTTTGCCTAATCGATATATTTGGTATCTATCGATAAGCAAAAATACATCGCTCTCGCTGAATACATAATTTCAGACAAAAGAACATACACATTCACGCACACACACATGTACACAGCAGTAGACATAGGCACAGAGGAAAGAAGCACAAGTAGCAGAGGAGAATGCGAATAAGAACTGCGTATATGTATGTGGAAATACAAAACAGTAGACACAACGAACGGTGTGCTTTTTCGGCATAGATCTCACGCCTCAGACGCATTAAAATCATTCAAATAAAACGCACAAGCCAATAAAAATAAAGATAAACAAACCGTTGGCATAAATTGTGATTAAACAGCTGTGAAAGTGGAAAGGGCACTAGAAAAGTAATCATACAGTGCGAAAGGTCAGCAGCAGCAGGAACATTCGCTGTATATAAAACTGTATATGAGTGTGTGTCTGTGTTGCATGTGTATGTGTATCTGTGTCTAGCTGTCACTTTCTTGCGCGCGCATAAGACATACACAAATTGAAATCAGCGACCACCCCTCCCCCATTATCCAGCCAAAGACAAGACTTGACGTACGCGCCCGGTTCCGGTGCAATCGTGCCACCAACGTTGGTCAGTTACCCGTCCTTAGACCCGCCAACAGCACAGCACAACACGGTTGCAATTTCATACATATACAACATATAAAAAAGCAATATACAATCAAAAATAATAAAAGTAGAAGTGGAAGTGCGTGTTGCTGTTTTTGCATTTCCTCTTTAGTTCTGCTGCTCCATCTACAAGATTTATCATTCACATTCAGCTCCAGGCATTTAATGCAGGTGCCGGTGTCAACTTTGCCGTCGTGCCGCTGTTTACATGTGGAAGTTGTTGTACAGGTAATGTTCGTCTCTACATGCATACATACATACAATCCGTAGTTACACTTTTTGCATGCGTTTGCTTCTATATGTATGTTTGTGCTTGTGTGTGTGCGAGTGTCTGTGTGTACTGCTTCTTTTTCAACTTCATTTCATGCCTGTCATTTTCAGCTAATGAGCTGCTGCCAATATATCCAGATGCCAGTAGCTGGGCACACTTAAATAATAAGCTTTGCATCTCTTTATTGGCTAAAAACTACCGTTTAATGTATGACCAAGGAGCAGTTATTTTCGCTGCGTGTACGCACTTTCTTTTTCCCAGTAACAAGTCTATTCATTCACATGCCCCCGCAGCACTAATTAATGGAATTTGAAATATCAAGAAGAGGAAAGGTCTGCAAAACATTTGTGTATGTGTGTGTGTGTGTTTGTGTATATGTTATTGATTTAGTGTTGTAATTATCCTATAGATAAAATTGAATAGTGTTTGTCATAGGGATTCTGTGCTTTATGTCTGGCTTGGAGCTACCTACATACATACGTGTGTATGTATTTGCATATGTGTGTTTGTGTGGTCATTATAGCTGCGTCTGCCTTTGCAGACAAGTGACCTTGGCATAAAACGCCCCCGTGAAATGCTTTGCACAGAGCTTTACTCACACCTTAAGCAGGCACCTATCTCGCGCAGCTATGTACATCGTCGTCAGCTGCTCTAGTTGTTATTGATAAAGAACAAACAGGAATTGTCGGATTGATTATACACGAGTATAATCAATACACCCGTGCGTGTGTATATATTGCGAGTATATATTTGTATGTACATGCATATGTATATAGTAATAGCTATAGCTATAGCTCTGACTTTTACACATACTTGAATAGATGCGTAATTATCACAAACATCATCATATGGGCTCATGATTTTTTTTTTTCTTTTTATCAAGCTTACTGTGGGGAAGTCATAGTAGACGAAATCGCACATACACACATACAGATGCATGCAAATTATCAACTTTTAATTATTTTAGCAGCACGCAAACTCGCACACTTACATACATACAACATAGATACATACGCATAGACCCAAAGTGCGAGGGAGATAGAAAGAAAACTAACTGTTATAAACATTTTTTTTTAGAAACGCTGACAGCAAACAACAACAACAAGCATAACAACAACAATAAAGTGACGCTGTAAAGAATCGAGAACAGCAAAACAAAACGTCAGACATCAGCAAATTACCAGTGTTGACAAACGATAATTGCTGGACGTATCAATTGCAACTGTAAACTGTAAACAGTGCAGCGAAATAGAAGGACCAGACGGAAAAAGCACTGAGATATAAAAGCTAAAAAGTAGCTTCTGGAACCGAGGAGGCGTGGTGGCAGGTGCGCTTATTCAGCGTTAAGCCGGCTTTGTGTGTTGTACGCCTGTACGGGGGAGGGGGGCGCGGTTGAGTGTCCACTGTTCGTGAGATGTTGTCATTCACTCCGCAAGTGGTTAAACGTTTGTTAGCACTCAAAAAGGGCAACGAGGACAATAGTGTCGAGGGCAAGTGGTCGGAGAAGGCCGTCCGGAACCTGGTGAAAAAGATCAAAAAGAATTCGCAAATTGAGGAACTAGAGCGCGCCATATCCACGCAGAATTGCAACACCCGGTGTGTGACTGTGCCGCGCAGCAAACCCGCTGCCACTGGCGAGAGCCTACGCAAGGGTTTACCGCACGTCATCTATTGCCGATTGTGGCGCTGGCCCGATCTCCAGTCGCAGAATGAACTAAAGCCGCTCGAGCACTGCGAATACGCGTTCCATTTGCGAAAGGACGATATCTGCATCAATCCGTATCACTACAAGAAGATCGAGCTGTCGATATTGGTGCCCAAGTCGCTGCCAACGCCCCCCGACTCCATAGTCGACTACCCATTGGACAATCACACACATCAGATACCAAATAATACGGAGTACAATGCTGCAATAATACGCAGCGCCTCGCTCAGTCCGCCACAGTATATGGAATTGGGTGGCAGCAGCAGCAACAGCAGCAGCAACACCACTATCAACTCAACGGCAACGGGCGCCGGTGGCTATCAGCAACAGCAGCAGCAGCAACAGCAGCATCAGCAGCTGCAACAGCAACACTCGCCACTATCCTTTGGCAGCGTGGTAGGAGTCGGCCAGAACTTGCCGCCGGGCAGCTGCAACATGGACTCGCAATCCAGCGTTCTCAGTGTGGGCAGCAGCATACCCAATACGGGCACCCCGCCGCCGGGCTATATGAGCGAGGATGGCGATCCAATTGATCCCAATGATAATATGAATATGTCGCGGCTAACACCGCCCGCCGATGCTGCACCAGTGATGTACCATGAGCCGGCCTTCTGGTGCTCCATATCCTACTATGAGCTAAATACCCGAGTGGGCGAAACCTTTCACGCCTCACAGCCATCAATAACGGTCGACGGCTTCACCGATCCATCCAATTCAGAGCGCTTCTGTTTGGGCCTACTCTCGAACGTGAATCGCAACGAGGTCGTGGAGCAAACGCGTCGCCATATTGGCAAAGGCGTTCGCCTCTATTACATTGGCGGCGAGGTCTTTGCCGAATGCCTGAGCGATTCATCAATATTCGTTCAGAGTCCCAATTGTAATCAGCGTTACGGCTGGCATCCGGCAACTGTCTGCAAAATACCGCCCGGCTGCAATCTAAAGATCTTCAATAATCAAGAGTTTGCCGCCTTGCTATCCCAGTCAGTCTCGCAGGGATTCGAGGCCGTTTATCAGCTAACGCGCATGTGCACCATTCGCATGTCCTTCGTCAAGGGCTGGGGTGCCGAATATCGCCGGCAGACGGTCACTTCCACGCCCTGCTGGATCGAGCTCCATTTGAATGGGCCACTTCAATGGCTTGATCGTGTACTCACCCAAATGGGATCGCCTCGATTGCCCTGCAGCTCCATGTCCTAAGTGTGGCAACAAATTCAAAAACAAAAAGCTCTTTGATTTATGTACATGCAACACAGATCTATATATATATGTATATATA